CAAAATCTCAGATAAGCCAAGCTTATCATTTTGATTTTCTTTTGCAATTCTCAACCAAATGAAACGGCGATTTTGGCGGGTCTTCATGTGCGTTAACGAACCACGGGTCCTCGTTAGCGTGAGACCAGAGCATGGGACTGCGATTGCCGATTGGGGCGTGGCTTTCACGTACCGAGGCCCACCACAACGGGCAATACGCTCTAAGGCGCATTGAGCTCGCCCATGGTTTTATCTCTCGCGCCAAGTGTCGATCCTCCTTCGCCACCTCTCACCAAGTTACAGAGGCACTAAAATGGCGTCTTTCTTCAGTCCCGTGTACATATGCTGTGGTGGTTTCTTCTACAAATTGCTCTGCTTCTGCGTCTTCTGGGTTTGCATTCTAAGTGTTTGTGTTTTTGCCTCTGAGAGAAAATCATGCCGACCGGTAGGTTCGGGACGATGCATGAATGGGTTCACGACGCCATCTCTGCTCAACGCAATGAGCTCCTCTCTCTTTTCTCCAGGTCACTCTTTCACTAAATCTGTGTTACATATCAAGCTTTGGGTACATGCTGCATGACTCCGTGTGATTCTGTTTGGTGATTTGTCAATAGACTTCGATTGCAAAATAATTCAACTTTGAAACTTGTATGAGTCTTTGGAGAGTAGATTCGGTTTGCATGTGTGTTGTGATTGGTCTCCAAGAGTAATAATGTTTTAGGGTTTATGTTTAGATATGTAGCTCAGGGAAAGGGGATATTGCAGTCCCACCAGCTGATTGACGAGTTCCTTAAGACTGTGAAAGTAGATGGAACAACAGAAGATCTTAATAATCGCCCTTTCATGAAAGTCTTGCAGTCTGCAGAGGTGAAAATAGAGCCTCAGAATATCATTACCATGTTTATATCTTTCGGTTTTATATGTCTTCATTTGTAATACTCGGAAGTTTTCTCATTCAGGAAGCCATAGTGTTGCCTCCATTTGTTGCGATGGCTATTCGTCCCAGACCTGGTGTTAGGGAATATGTTCGTGTGAATGTGTACGAGCTGAGCGTAGATCACTTAACTGTTTCTGAGTACCTTCGGTTTAAGGAAGAACTAGTTAATGGGCAGTAAGCAAATGCTGATTGCAAAGTTGTTTTTGTCTATGTGTATGTACTTCTTTGCTTGGATGCTTAAAGTCTCGACCTTTTTTCATTTAGTGCCAATGGAAATTATCTTCTCGAGCTTGATTTTGAACCGTTCAACGCAACGTTTCCTTGCCCAACTCGTTCATCATCCATTGGGAATGGGGTTCAGTTCCTCAATCGTCACCTCTCGTCAATTATGTTCCGTAACAAAGATAGCATGGAGCCTTTGCTGGAGTTTCTTCGCACTCACAAACATGACGGGCGGGTGAGTTTTTTTCTCATTTGAACGTATTTTTTGTCACAAAAATGCGTAATTAGTATAAAACACTGACTATGTACTCTCTAATGTATAATGCAGGCCATGATGCTGAATGATCGAATACAGAATATCCCAACACTTCAGCAAGCTTTGGCCAGGGCAGAGGAGTTCCTTTCTAAACTTCCTCTGGCTACACCATACACTGAATTCGAATTTGAGTAAGATGTTTTGCCATTCACTTTCATATCGGTAATTCTTACTTGTTAGCTATCAAATTATGTTGCCCTTTTCCTTCTTTGAACGATGTATTTTGGTGAAGACTACAAGGGATGGGATTTGAAAGGGGATGGGGAAACACTGCACAGAAGGTTTCAGAAATGGTGCATCTCCTTCTGGACATACTCCAGGCACCCGATCCTTCTGTCTTGGAGACGTTTCTAGGAAGAATTCCTATGGTGTTCAATGTTGTGATTTTGTCTCCGCATGGTTACTTTGGCCAAGCCAATGTCTTGGGTCTGCCTGATACTGGTGGACAGGTAGATTTGGTCGGAATCTTCCATATCCTAGAACTAGGCAATTCTCTGTTGATTCAACTTATACTTTACTGTTGAGATTTTCAGGTTGTCTACATTCTTGATCAAGTACGTGCTTTGGAAAACGAGATGCTCCTTAGGATACAAAAACAAGGACTGGATGTTATTCCAAAGATTCTCATTGTATATTTGCTTGCTGGCTATATACTTTCTTCTTCCATTTAAACAATTAGGCATTCAAGATTCAGTTTACGTTAATATTTACATGCTGGCTTACATAGGTGACAAGGTTGATCCCCGAAGCAAAAGGAACAACGTGCAACCAGAGGTTAGAAAAAGTTAGTGGTACAGAACACGCACATATTCTGCGAATACCGTTTAGGACTGAAAAAGGCATTCTTCGTAAGTGGATCTCGAGGTTTGATGTCTGGCCATACCTGGAGACTTTCGCAGAGGTTAGCAGTTTACTAGTTAGCCAGATTTCTATCTTACTTCTGTAGCTTCTTCATTGAGATGGAGTTAGCTTAAAGTTAGGGTGAGTTAATGAATATACTTMTATGTATGGTGTAGGGCAATCCGTTTCAGCTGTCTATGTATGCCCCTTTTCGTTTACGTATTGGCTAATACTTTACTAATATGTGACTAGGATGCATCAAATGAAATTGCTGCAGAGTTGCAGGGTGTACCAAATCTCATCATTGGCAACTACAGTGATGGAAATCTCGTTGCTTCTTTGTTAGCTTGTAAGCTAGGTGTCATACAGGTTGGTGTGTTTTATGCTAACTCCTATGTATAATATAAATTCAGTTTTGTTCATAAAAGACTTGAAAACTTTTGTTCTGATCTCTCCTTTACCATTTGAGATGCAGTGTAATATTGCTCATGCTTTAGAGAAAACCAAGTACCCCGAGTCTGACATTTACTGGAGAAACCATGAAGATAAGTATCATTTTGCAAGTCAGTTCACTGCAGATCTGATTGCCATGAATAACGCTGATTTCATTATCACCAGTACTTACCAAGAGATTGCGGGAAGGTAAAAATCCCAACTGATATTCCACTGCAAGCTGTTGTCGCCTGGAATTTTGGTTTGATGCCAGCAAAAACTGTGTTGCTTTTGTCACAGCAAGAACAATGTTGGGCAATATGAGAGCCACACAGCTTTCACTCTTCCTGGTCTTTACCGAGTTGTTCATGGAATCAATGTCTTTGATCCCAAGTTTAATATAGTCTCCCCAGGAGCTGATATGACCATATACTTTCCATATTCTGACAAGGAAAGAAGACTTACTGCCCTTCATGAGTCAATTGAAGAACTCCTCTTTAGCGCCGAACAGAATGATGAGCATGTGTAAGTCCTTTTACAACAACTCTGATTTAGCAATATATATATACTAAATCTCAGACAACCACATGATATTTTGATTGGTTTACATGTCTCAATCTTCTTCTGTTGATAAAGTGGTTTACTAAGCGATCGATCGAAGCCGATCATCTTCTCCATGGCAAGACTTGACAGGGTGAAAAACTTGACTGGGCTAGTTGAGTGCTATGCCAAGAATAGCAAACTGAGAGAGCTTGCGAACCTTGTTGTTGTCGGTGGCTACATCGACGTGAATCAGTCCAGGGATAGAGAGGAAATGGCTGAGATACAGAAGATGCACAGCCTGATCGAGCAGTATGATTTACATGGTGAGTTCAGGTGGATAGCTGCCCAAATGAACCGTGCCCGAAATGGCGAGCTTTATCGTTATATCGCAGACACAAAAGGTGTTTTTGTTCAGGTAAGCTGAGATAAATGCTTTGAAATTTGAATTTTTGTTAGATTAACAGACCATCTACCTCTCTGTTTTTCCACCACAGCCTGCTTTCTATGAAGCTTTTGGGCTCACTGTTGTGGAGTCAATGACTTCTGGGCTCACCACGTTTGCTACTTGTCATGGTGGACCCGCAGAGATCATCGAGAATGGAGTTTCGGGGTTCCACATCGACCCATATCATCCAGGCCAGGTTGCAGCTACTTTGGTCAGCTTCTTTGAGGCCTGCAATACCGATCCAAATCATTGGGGGAAAATCTCTGAAGGAGGACTCAAGCGAATCTATGAAAGGTTGACCCTTTTACCTTGATAGGCTCAACGAAATAGCCTTGATCACTTTACCAAGATGATGCCTTTATATGTGTTTCTGCATGCATAGGTACACATGGAAGAAGTACTCAGAGAGGCTGCTTACGCTAGCTGGAGTGTATGCATTCTGGAAACATGTGTCTAAGCTGGAGAGGAGAGAAACACGACGTTACCTAGAGATGTTTTACTCTCTGAAGTTTCGTGATTTGGTCAGTGTAATTCACTCTTCCTTCTTCGTTCTATTTCTTCGCCTACTTTACTTACATGATCATTTTTTTCGGTTTGCAGGCCAATTCAATCCCGCTGGCAACAGATGAGCCTTGAGCAAGCCATGGTTGGATTCTATTTGCTGCACTCTCTGTTGAGTTTCTGTCTGTGTTATCATAAATAAGGCTTTGTTTTCAGGACTTGTTTGTGTTGGTATTGTTTCGGTTATTTTCT